AGTGTTTACATAAGTGATTTTTGACCATTGACTGGGAATGGACAGCTTGAAGAGACATGCTATGTGCCTGACACACAGAGGACGTTCCTGAACTTTGTTACACAAGAATCACTTGGGATGCTTGTTTAGAACGCAGATTTCTGGATCCTGTCTCTGGACATCTATCTAGTAGGTTTGGGATGGGTCTCAACATCTGGATTTTATTTCCTTTACTTTGTTTTATTTTATTTTTATAGACAGGGTCTTGCTCTGTCATCTGGGCTGGAGTACAGTGATGTGATCATAGTTCGCTATAGCCTCAAACTCCTGAGCTCAACTGATCCTCTTACATCCAAAATAGTTGGGACTAGAAGTGTGTGTCACCAAGTCAGGCTAGTTTTTTAAATTTTTTTGTAGAGACAGGGACTTACTCTGTTACAGAGGCCAATCTTGAACTCTTGGGCTCAAGCGACCTTGAGTGCTGGAGCCATGGGCCTGGGCAAGGGGGATTTTAATCAAATACCCCTGATGATTTTGACATGGGGAGGATCCAGGCTCACATGTTTAAAAGCACCATGGTGATTGCTAAATAATTAAAAGAATGAATGAACAATAGTATGAGTAATGAGTGTCAATAGTTGAATAGTGTTGCCCAAATTTGCCTTAACATAAGACTCTTTGGGCCCCCTATTAAAAATGCTGTTTCTTAGGCCTACCCAGGTCTGGTAACCATTATCTCTGAGGAAGGCACCTAGGGGTCTGAATTATTAAACACATGCCCCACATGAATGTTCTGATAAGGCTCATTTGGGGAATATCTTGAAAGGCCATGATCTGTGTAGTTGCCCCAATCTCTCTTCCTATCCTTTGAAGAAGTACCAAAACTCCTACTATCTCAATAAGATGTCTTCACTGTAGTAGCATGTTAGAGAATAGCGGATCTCTCAGTTACATGCCAAATGATACTTCTGTTAAACAGGCTATAACTATGGATTCAAATTGGTTTTAATACAATCAGGTGAGATTTCAAAACATTTAATAATTGATACTGCATAGTCACCTCCAGTCAGAGTGGAGAAACAGTATGTTGCAAACAATAGCTTTTACTATCTAACTATCATCCCCTAGTATATTTTAAATGATAAGTTTTTGATTGTGTAAGCCTAATAGAGCTTGTGAATATTGATGCATTTCCAAGATTCCCTTCTACTTTCTCTCTCCCTCCCTCATCATAGGAGGTCAAGATTGATAAATACATTCAAGGTAATGCTTAGCAATTTTGCCTGAGTTTGGTTGATATATTTTCCCCTGTTTAATTTGTTGCATGCTCTGTGCCCTGACATCTTATTCCTTACCAGACCAGAAGTTTTCAAATGTGCAAGCCTATTGTGCCTGGGGAAAAATGTTGAACTTTTGCCTTTGTAATAAGATATGCTCCAATTACCAACTTTAGCAATTTAATATAGTTGAATAATAACTGAATGGGACACTTTGTCACTCAGTCATTATTCAAGCTGCTACAGGGGGTGGAATGAGGAGTTGCTAGAGGTCAGCTTATTCCTGGGGGAGCTCAGCCTCACATATCAACACTCTGAGAATTTTTTAAAAAACAACATTACAAAAAGTAAATTCCAGGAAGTATCAGTCAAACTATAGATTTGTAAAACACGAGAACACCTCAAGTTCAATTTTAAAATATGGCACAGTGTTTAGTGTTAAGATAATTTTATACATGGAAAGTGTGGCAGCAAGATGATGCAATCACCTGGGTAGTTCCATCTAAGAAGTGCTTCATGGGTGGAGATGATCCAGAGAGATGAGCTCATTTTCACATGGGCCAGAGATATTAAAATTTCCCCTCACCCTCCAGTACGTGTAACCTTGCATTCCGAAGACATTCCAGTATCTACTGAAAGCATTAAGCACCTAAATCTTGCTTTGATGTTTATAAGACATTTCTGAGGAGAATTGCTAAGCCTCTTGTGTATATGCAAAGCTTGAAGAAGCCAAGAATTTTTGTTTGTTTATTTGTCTTAGTCTCAGCTTTGTTTTTCTCACTCTTACTGTAGGCCACATTTTTCTGTATCTGGACCCCAGGCTCATTCGCCATTTAAGAGACCATCACCTGAGACTTAAAATTCACGTACTCAGTGTATGGAATAGGTCCTAGAGCAATAGTTCTCAACCTTCCTAATGCCACGACCCTTTAATACAGCTCCTCATGTCGCAGTGACCCTCAACATTATTTTTTGGAAGAAAATAATTTTATTGTTTGGGGTCACCACAACATGAGGAACTGTATTAAAGGGTCGTGGCATTAGGAATATTGAGAACTGCTGTCCTAGACTCTCATGAAAGTTAATCAAGGAGAAACCCAGGTGGACTGGCAGCCTCCAGGAACCCGAGTGTGGTCACTCAGAAAGACTGCTTCTTCTGGTGGAATGACACTCGGCTGGGATGAGTTGGATTCACAGACCTCAGTGTCAGGAAAGAAATCAGCTTTCAGAAAGACTATGGCACATTCAAGCCCTGACCCCTGCGATCCCACTCAGGGATTTTACTCTCTGTGTGGACATCCCTATTGAAAAGGTCATAGAACCTTCCTGACCTTGGATTTCTCCAATAAGGCAAAGAGCTCAGCTGCTGCCGAGACCAGGAGGGTCCTTCCCAAGGATGCTTAGAGGACTCAGAAGAGTTACAGAAGTTCTGGATGGAGTTCTGGAAGATGTCGGAGGTGCTGAGAAACACGTGCCCCTTCAGCAAAGGGCTGATGATCTCAGGAGAGTATCTCGTCATCATTTGTCCACCCTCTGCCCCTCCCCCACTTTATGCCAAGGCAGGCAGGGGTGGGAGTTTGTAAGCTGTAGACCAGGTTGAGGGGTAGACCACAGGTCAAGAGATGCTCCAAGTCTGGGGCTGATAAATTGATTTATGGACCTGAAGAAGTTTTTCAAATTGTTAATATACTCTGGGACAGTGATACCTAGTTTTTGGTTTTTGGTTTTGTCTTTTTTTTTAACACTCATTTGCCCTGGTTAGAGTGACATGGTGTCACAGCTCAGAGCAACCTCAAACTCTTGAGCTCAGGTGATACTCTTGCCCTCAGCCTCCTGAGTAGCTGGGACTATAGGTGACTGCCACAACAGCCCAGCTAGTTTGTGGTTTTTTTTTTTTTTTTCTATTTTCAGTAGAGACAGGGTCTCGCTCTTGCTCAGGTTGATTTCTGATTCTGGAGTGCAAGGGATCCACCTATCTTAGCCTCCCAGAGTGCTAAGATTACAGGTGTGAGCCACCATGCTTGACATCTACCTCTTATTGAAAGAGATTTTCATCTCTTCTGGAGCATTGTGGGTACAAGTGCTTGTAAATGGGATGCGTGTTCAATATAGTGAATGGATTTCTTAGACAGTAGTACAAGTCCAGTGATACACCACGTATTTCCTAAAAGTCACCAGAGATATCTCTGTCACTGATACAGATGTACATTGAAGAACTCTTATCCTAAATTACTGGTTTCCTCTTATGGAGATTCTAGTGAGATGCCCCATGGCAGGAACAGTCCTCCAAGCCCTATGAATGGATAGAAATCCAGATTTGCCATGGATTTCAGCTCAGGACAGAGCACTGCTGACGCAGACCCAGTGGTCTGAAACAAAGCATATTCAGCTTCTGTTCCAATGGAACTGTGTCTTTCCATCACTGCCCTGGCCCACCATGAACTGGGTGCTAGAGAAAACAGAGGGGCTGATGCCCTGTGGTGGAGCTGCCAGGAGAAATGCCAAGCTGCACTTTAGTAAATGGAATCCTCCAAAAGCACCATGAAGCCCTTGGGAAGCATTTGGAAAGATCTCAGTCACTGTCTCAGCTATGTCCAAACTACAGACTTATCTGATTCCTCAACTTCTCCCAAGCTGAGCCCAGCTGGCTGCCACACCCCACCTCTGCAGTCTGCACCAACCAGGATCTGCTCTGTCCATGCCATCCTGCTATTCCTTGGGCGTGCTTAGCCTGTGTTACTGACTTTTCATACCCCAACTGAGCCTCTGTCTATCCCCCCTGGCCCTGTTCAGGCTGAACACATGTCTGCTAGCCCACTCCAGGCCCAGACCCATCCTATCTCAGGCCCTCACGCTGGCTCAGGGCCTCCGGCATCTGTTGCACAATTGGGCACCACAGGGGACACATGACTGGCATCCACAAAGACAAAGATGGAAAATATGAGCCATCCATTTGGCAACAATGCTGGCACCCTCCTCCATTCATGCTGCCAAGCCCTGACCAGAAAGATCTTGGCCTGCTTACTGCCCAGTGTGGGCAGTCCAGACTCAGGGTGGCTCAGGTCATGGTAGGTAGAGCCAGCTATAATGTGATTTATACATACAAGAAAAGAACGGAGCAAGGGATCCAGACTCATATCAGCTTGTGCCCACCAGACTCAAGCTAGAGAGAAAACGAAAAAACCCTCATGAGCAGAGTTGCTTTTTGCAAACTTAGATTTGACCCAAAACAAACATTATATTCTGCTTTTCTTTGTATTTTGATTTGGTTTTATAGGAAAAACTGAATGTGTTTTCTGTCCATATAAAGTGCATATGATCTTTTTCTAAGAATAAGAGAAGCAGGAAAATAGGTGAAGACTATTACATACCAGGAATGGGGTATATATTATAATGTGGGGGAACTTCTGGGTCGTTGCAACCCATGAAATATTATTTCTGTCACCCAATCAATTTCAAAAACCCTTTAAAGAAGCCAGAAAGAAAATTATGCACTCATATTACATCTATCTCATATCATCCTCCCTCAGATATCTCAAGTTAAATATTATTTCTCCTACCTTGCAAATGAAGAAACTGAGGCAGCATCAAAAAGGCTAAAGAATTGCTCTAGGGCACAAAGCTAACAAATAATTGAGTTAGGAATTGATCCCAGCTCACCAGACACCAAAGCTCACAACTGTCAAGGATTGTCATTAATTTAGACAACTGTCTTCTCCCTGAAGTAGACCAAAAGAAGCTTACCAACATTCCAAGACGATGTCATCAGGCAGAGCATGGTCAAGTTACTGTTGAAGGAACCCTTCCAGTCCATTTCCCAAAACTGAGAGTTGAAAGGTGAGTTTTGTAATTGGTTGACTTTTAATAGATTATTTATTTTAAGCTGCCCAGCTCGATGAGGCAACAAGCTGGGGAATGAGCTCCGTTTGAAGAGAGATTTCTGATCTTCTGGGAAGTGTTTCCGCTTTAATAGGCCTTTATTCCCCAAGGCAATTCCTGAAGACGTCTAGTCACAACCCACTGGGTTGCCAGGTTGCTGTAAACACACACATGCGTGTGTGCACACACGCTCAGGAAGAGATGATTTTGTAATCATGGCAGCGGATGCCCCGCACAGGCAGGAGGGAAGAGATTATTGGAGGAAAACTTTTCCTCTTCTAACTTGGGCTCACTGGCTGGGGGCCCATAAACTGACAACAGACAGATCAAGAGGAGAAATGGCAAGGTTTATTTATGTTTATAGGCAGGAATGCTCAGGGATGAGTAACTTACTCATTAGCCAGAGATGAAAAAAAACATTATACTGTGTATAGCAAATGTTATCAAAGGGGAGGTTTTAGGGAAGGAATGGAAAGTTCTATTGAACTTTTTGATGCTAGTGCAAACAGTCTATTTCTATGGCAGCTAAATTTGTAGGAAGCTTCCTTAGAGGAGGTATTTTCTGGAGTCTCTAAGTTAATCAGATAAAGGAATACAGATAAGATTTCTTTATGAATCTTCTTTAGCCCAAATGTTTTCATACTAAAATTATCTTTATATCAAACTTGGAGGGCCAAGTAGGTTCCCACATTTCCCTCCATCTGAAACTGTTCTACAAGTTACACACACACACACACACACATACACGTTAGGTTTATTGCTGTGGAGAGAGATGCAGATTAGAAATTATGAGGTAAGAGATCTGCAAAGGGAGAAAAAAATAAAGATTAAAAGCTGGAGCAGAGGGGATCCAATTTCTGAGTCCAGAAGGCAGCCAGTCCAGTAGAGAAGATTTCTGTATGTTGAGTTTGTTGAAGCCTCTTTAGTGAAGATGGCAGTGGTAATGGTTGTTTGCTGGAGCAGAGCATGGAAAAGGCAGTTGTTCAGGTAAATTTTCTGCCCACACTTGAAATGACTGTCAAATTGTCCAGCTTTAGCACCCAGAGCCCTAGGAAAAAAGTAGTTTTAGTTTTCACTGATACCAAGTCAGGAAAATGGGAAAAAATTTAAAATGTTAATTACTAACAAAATGTAAAAGATGGCAGAATCTAGTTGACAAGGAAAAATAGCTTGAAGACAATGGGCAGGACTAGAATCTAATAATCTACAAGGGTGGGCTATAGTTTTCCACTGAAATGTAAAATTTCTCTCTATGATTACCTTCATTTTTATTAAACATTCACTAAGATTACTCTTGTTCACAAAATAAGTCTAGTCTCATTAAATTTGTCCTGATCATTTACATAAATGCAGCAAGAATGATAATTGACCATATTAGCCTTTTAAAGTTTGCTTTGTTGGAACTTTTATAAGGAATCTCATATTTGCCTTGTAAAAGCCTTTGAAGCTAGGAAACTGAGCCAAGAACTTGTCTACAGACCTCATCTGTGCTATCTATAGATTTGGGTGAACTACTCTCCTCTTGAGGTCCCCCAAATATTCCAAAGTTCCTAGGCCCAGCAGGAACTTCATTACTCGTCTGTAAGGCTGGGAACCTTGGAAACCAGGTATCAGGCCAGTTTCATAAAGGCAACCTCAGTTCCTTAAAACTGTCTGATTATATTGGCTTCTATACATATCATTCTCAAATCTGACATTTCAGTTAAAGACTTGGTAATATAGATAATTTTCCCAATTATATACTGTTACAAGGAAAATAGATTGATTCTTCCTGAATTTATACAATTTATGCAAAAAACTATATTGCCATGAAAATACAAATATTCAATATAAGTTTCTGAACTCTGGAGGGATCAGGTAGAGAGAAAGTAAGTAAATGTTTCCTTTTTGTTTACAAGATATAATCTACTAAATTGTGAATTATAGATAGCTTAAGAGAAAAGAGTTTCTTTATATGCAAAAAATGGAGCAAACCAGCAACATTCCAAACACACACACACACACATTATAGTTATTCATCAGTTCATTCTGTCTCATGTAATTAATTCTTATTCTGCTTCATCTTTTTATGAACTCCTCCCACTAGAGTTCTGAAAATCTTGACTTAGTCCAGTGGTGTGACTTCATCGTCATTTATGCAATGCCATCAGAAGCCTTTACCAGATTCCTAGTCCTTTCCATGGGTCTCTGAGACATACCTTTTGTTGGAAGTGAAGCATTCTGGCTTGTGGCTGATTGTGAGAGCTTTCTGGAAAGCATAAGAATAAAACAATGGCTCTGAATGACAAAAGACTTAACAATGGCAGTGGTTAAAAATTTGATGAGAGGTATTAACAAAAACAATGACAAGGAATTTAGTTGTTTTCTGTGATATTTACAGAACATGGCCTAGCACAGTGGCTCACAACTATAAGCCTAGTTTTCTGGGAGGCTGGTGTGAGGATCACTTGAGTTCAGGAATTTGAGACCAGCCTCAGCAAGAGTGAGAAAAACTTATGTGGGCATTGTTAATCCCAGCTACTCAGGAGGCTTAAGCCGGAAGATCATTTGACCCCAGTAGTCTTGAGTTTACTGTGAGCTAGGTTGATGCCATTGTTGTGGGAAGACAAGGCCCACTGGAGAGAAAGAGCACCCAAATACTATGTTTATAAGAAGAAGGGCTTTATTCACCAGCCATGAGCTTATGACATAGAAGGATTCCAAATGGTCATGCTCCCCGACTGGCTTGGTCTTTCTCTTTTTATCTACAGTCAAAAAATTCTAACTCATAGGTACCTTTCTCATTGGACAGTTTGAATCAAGCAGGAGATGCTATTCCAGCCCCCACAGAACTATTGGATTTCACAGAAGTGGAAATTTCCCAGTTCCAGGAAGTTAAGTTTACAAATTCCCAAGAGCTGAGTCACCATGGAGAGGACCCTGAAGGTGTATCCTTGTGGTCTCCTTGAGAATACCTATTCTCCCAGACCTCACCCTTCTCGGGTATCCTCTTGAGGATATGGTATCCACCGTGACACTCTAGCCTGGGCAACAGAGTGAGACTCTGTGTCGAAGAAGAAAAAGAAAAGATAACTGGAATTATAACTACTAACAGTATATAAGGACATCTCACAGATAGCAAGGTATTGACAGATTTCTAGGAACTTCATGTACTTTCTGATGTATAATGCTATCTATAGCATCTACCCATACAAATATAACACAGAGAAAGTTAAGTGTCTCTCCTTATTTGATAATGCTTCTCATTTCCAATGCCCTGACTTTAAAGTATTTGCAAGCATTTGAGATAAATAAGATAGGCCTTGGGATTGGTATGATGACTGGGCATTGGGTTACTCTTGGAACCATACTACTGTTTCTTAAAGGCTTGATTAGTAAGATGAGGGAAGTATGTTTAATTCTTTAAAGAGTACAAAGCCCATTTGTACTGCTATAACAGAATATCTGAAGGGTAAATTATAATAAACAGAAATTTATTGGCTCATAGTTCTGGAGATTAGGAAGTCCAACACTGAGCTGCTGGCATCTGTTGGTACACTATCCCATGGTTGAAAGCAGAAAGCAAAAGAGCCCTAATTGTCTGTTAAAGTCCTTACTTTTAGTACAGTTATCGTGGCAATTAGATGTCCACCTAAGTTTTGGAGGGGAAAAACATCCAGATTACAGAAGGCAGCCTCAATAATAACATTAAGAAGCTGGCCTGCTTGGCTTAGCACCCATAGCACAGTGGTTATGGTGCCAGTCACATACACCAACGGTGGTGGGTTCAAACCCAGCCTGGGCCAGCTAAACAACAATGACAACTGCAACAAAAAATAGCCGGTGTTATAGTGGGAGCCTATAGTCCCAGCTACTTGGGAGGCTGAGACAAGAGAATCACTTAAGCCCAAGAGTTTGAGGTTGCTGTGGGCTGCGATACCATGGCACTCTACCAAGGGCGACATAGTGAGACTCTGCCTCAAAAAAAAAAAAAAAAGAAAAAATTGGTGGGTGGTGGCTATGGCTCAAAGGAGTAGGGCACTGGCTCCATATGAAGGAAGTGGCGGGTTCAAACCCAGCCCCGGCCAAAAAAAAAAAAGTTGGCCTGCTTATCCAACTACATAATTTTAAATTTGCTTCTTTATGTTGGGAAGAAGATTTCCAACAATGGTGGAAACCGAGAGATTTCTATGTTCTGAGGTTTTCAGATATAAAGCCATGCACCGTCAGAATGTTTTTATAAATCATTGGACAAAAGATTTAGGATGTATTTCTTTTCTATGAGTTCATGGTTCTACATTAGCCCAATTAATTTTCAGAGGGAAGGTTTTTTAATAGTTCCTATCGGGCCCTGAAAATCAGCTTCCAACTAGTCCATTTACAGGAGGAAGGTGGTAGGGAGTAGAGTTTTTGGTGGGTGTGGATTTTAATTCTTGTTCTAAATCTGGTTTCCATTCTTTAATTTGATGAAGGGAGTCTGTGATATTTTCTTTTACTGTCTTCCTTTTGTGATCTTCCCATATTGGTAACAGGACATTTGTTTAATGTGAGAGGTCTCTAAAAGTACTTTTAAGTATAAATGTTTTCCAAATCAAGGGATCTATTGTCTGGCCATTAATGATTTAGTATCTCTAAAGGTATACCTATTTTAAAATGTAACTCAAAACTGATATGCCATTTTATGGTTTAACCATTGACATAAGCAACCTCTCCAAAAGAGGTGCAGAACATGCGGATCCCACGATCCAAGGTCATTCACAAAGACAGCCAAAGGACAGAAAGCAAAGACCATATCATTGCTACAGACAGTAAGAATGGGGTTAATGAGAATTTCTGTCTCTAGTCTCCAACAAGAGTGACGCTCTTCCAATCATGAGCCCACTAACATATGGCTCCATGCAGCCAATACTGAGATAGGACTTTTCACCCCAAGCAAGACAGTAGGAAGGAGATGATAAAGGTTCTTTTGGTCCAAGACCCTTTATGACTTAGAAGACAAACTTCCCAAGAGTTGGCAAAAGTTTTTATGATGCCAGCTGCAGATGGGTACTCAGGGTGGCACATTTCTACCCAGCCTACTAAAAATTCTTGAGTACTCAACTTGACAGTTGGCTGCTTCT